AATCAATTGATAGAAATGTATCTGGCAACTAACAGGTTTACTGAAATTCCGTTTGATCTTAGATTTACACCAATGTTGCAGATTCTTGACCTAAGTGAAAATGCTATTTCAACACTTGATGAGAAAATAACAATGGAACTGGATGCATTTGTTGAGAGAAATGGACATTTGAGCTTGAGATTAGCTAAAAATGTTTTATCGTGTGGTTGTGAGAATTTTATTTTCATCAAATGGATTCTTTCAACAAATGTAAAGATAGACTTTGATTCCAATTTAACGTGTGTGAACGAATCTGGTTTGTATTCTCATCTAGATAAACATTTGAATTTTGGCACGTTTTGGCGTCAGTGTGTGGGCCAGCAATACCTTTATATCTCTGTTGTTATTTTGTGCGTCTTCATTATAATATTTTTGGGGTCTTTTGTCATCATGCGGTGTAAGCTGTACATTGTGGCTTACGTTGCTCAAATACTTGGCACTGTACCACGCAGGAGATTAACAGATTTTCAAAACCACGTATTTATATTGTCATCTCCCAATGAAGGCTTTGTTACAGTTTTAAGGACCTACTTAAAACAATATTTTTTTCTGAACATTCGGGACTGCACAGATCTTGAACCTGGGCGACCTGAATTTGAAGATTTGTTTGTTGAGCTCAATGCCACCTGGCGTGTAATTCTAGTTGTAACAGAAGAGTTTTTTCACGACAATAATTTCCAGATGCTCTACACCCTGGTGTTGAACAGTATGTCACATGACAACCCGGGAAAGGTGCTTCTACTTTATGAAAGTAACTTACCGTTAAATGTGGATTTAGTTAATGCTATTGGTGAAGATAATATCATTTGCGTTCGATCATGGCAGATAACATCAAACATGGATGAGTTTCTGTATGACAGAATTTTTATTGATTATTAATGCTCAATATTGTGATTGAAAAACTAATAATTATCAGCCTAACTATACTAAAACTTGGAATACATGTGTGTCTTTAAAATTTCACAATAATAAAATTGGACTTACAAAATGTACTTAGAAAATAGGATTGATAAAGTGCGTCTCTGTTTTTTTGTTTTAAAAAAATGTGTGTATGTTAAAATGTGATGGGATCAACAGGTGAGAATGCATTTTTCTTAAACGACAATTACCATACTTTGAGACTCTTATTACAAAACTTGAAATTGTTACTTTAACTTATTTAAAACGCTACAAAGAAAATGTTCTCGCTTGTAAGCTTGCATTACTTTGCGAAAGCTATTACCTGGAAAACCAATGACTTTTGTCGTCGGTGTAATGATGATTACCATTTGGCGGATTTTCCATGTCTTGAACAAAGACCTCTTGTATTTCCAAAGTTTTCCGTTTAACGGCAACAATTTACTTTTAAAACGTGACTTAATGCAACCCTGATCAAATCATTTGATTGGTAGAAGACAATTTATCATAGCCTGCTGTGAAATTGCTTAATGCAGAAGACAACATTCTTTATGTTCTTTATTGGACAGCAACACGTGCGCTAAATTAAACTTGAACAACAAATATCATTGTAAATGAATGTGCTTTAAAAGACCCCTAACTAACACCGCAGACGTTGTTTATTGCATGGCACAGATTTAGAAGCGTATTATCATATTAAATAAAATACTAGACAGTTTTATTTTGTAAGAACAATGCATGCATTTTATATTAACAGTTAATCAGTTGTGTTTATTTTTGTGTTCATTTTAAAATCATGTATTTTTATATTATTTAAGGGTATTTTATGCAGTATTATTATGATGTGTTGTCTTTTTATAAATTTAGGCTATAAATACCGATGAAGTGCAAAGCTTTTACGTCTGGATAAATATTTGAATTTTCTAAAATCTTGGTGTCACTGCTTGAACAATAGTATTAAGATTTTTTGTAAATATTTAAAGATAAATTGATTCAACAGTTTTCAACATCTATTTATATAAAACATGCGGCATTTTATTTTGTTGTGAAGATAGTCCATTTATATCTTACATTTAATACAACTATATTCGAAATTAAAACAAATTTTTTTAATCAATATATTAAAAAGTAATTTCAAACAAAAGTATGAATGCATAATTTAATCTCTGTATTTTTATTGTATACACTAATTATTAAAATATAAATGCACATATTTTGTTAAATGTGACGGCAATAACATGTTTATGTTAAGTGTATTTATTGTTCCCAGTATTATTATTCCAAATCCATTTAATAAATGCTAGTTTAAGATTTAATTTTCTTTAGGATACACATTTTACTTCTTATCACATTTTACTTGGAAAGATTTTGTGTAACGTTTGGTATTTTATGCTGCGCTTACTTTATGCTTTGATTTCATTCATGTAATCTGGAAAATAAAAGTACACACATTTTACCACAGAATAGTTTAAATGTTTATATAATCATTGATTGAGTGTTCTTACATAGGCTATAAACCTTCTTAACAAATAAACTGTGTGCTATACATTTTGAATATAAATTGTATTTCAATCGAGTTGGGGGGGGGAGAGGATTAAAAGTGCTTTATGGTGACGGTGGGAGCGTGCCCCACCCCCAAAGAATTGCCTGAAAGAAACTGAAATGGCACTTATCTTCTAAGTTTAATAATATATTGTTAAACGTATTTCTTTGTTTGTATTTCGCTGTTTTTCAATAAATAGAGTTCTCTAAGTAGGCCAATTAATGTTAGATAGTTAGTATCCCCAGTTTTAATATTATATTGCATTCTACGTATTTCTTTGTTTGTATTTCGCTGTTTTTCAATAAATAGAGTTCTCTAAGTAGGCCAATTAATGTTAGATAGTTAGTATCCCCAGTTTTAATATTATATTGCATTCTAATATTAACGGCAGTGTAAGACCCTTTAGCTTGTAAACCTTAATCCAACCATTTTAACCAAGCCTGCATTTTCTAACGCCAGGCATGGTTTAAATATTAATAATCACAAAAATCTTCTACTCACTATTTAAAAATGAATATTTTTTTGGGAGGTAACCAAATTAGAAAAAAAGAAATCGAGGGTTATTTCCCTTGAATCGCGGCAATTGAGTTGTTATATATTTAATATCAGTAAATTTAAAATAATTGCGCCAATTTAAAAACATTATTTTTTTATACAATAATAAACGTATTCTACCTTATGTAACATTGAGGTTTAAATTTAAAATTGTATAACTTTTTAGGCACATTTCTATCATGGAAACGTTACAGTTCTAACCTAAAAGCCCTTCTAAGAATATAACAAAATTGCCAATTGTTTTTAATTATACGAGAAAGCGTAGGGGAGATCACTCCGCTTTAATCGTGTCTGCCTACGATCTATACAATATTATACACAAACTAAATTTTAAAAAGAAATGTAAACAAACCCTTATTAGTTCATATAAGATCAATATAAGCATTTTATTTAACAATCTAAATATTTTTTTTCTCAACTGCAGTCCTAACCAATTGTCTGCAATTTATTATTATGTTAATTAAATTAAAAACAGCGTATGAGTTCCAGCCGCACAATCGTAACGTGCTTGGGACGTTGTAAACATTCTCTTACCTTGACTAGCGATTATAACCGCTAGCTTAGACAATTAGACTGTGTTCTAATCTGTGGTGTAAATAAATACGTCGCTACAAAATATCCATTAGCTAGTCAGTTAAAGGTTGGCATTTGTCGGTATAACATTTAAGAAGTGTGGGGGTATACGCTGAACAATGGCACTGTCGGATTGGCTAAAATAAAGTTAATCGTCGCACACCTACCTTTGCTATTACGAAATGTGTTGAATAAAAGTATAGATGGCAAAACAAAGTTATATTTAGTGTAAAAAAAAAAGTTCATGTTGATCTTTATATAAGGGCACTGCAGGGGTGTATGTTTACAGCTCACAATATAATTAAGCCTGGATCGCGTTGCTATTAGGTAGAAATTATTTAATGCCAATACAATTTAATTAATTTCGGCCATTTATAATTTTTAAAGCCTGAACTGGCCTTCATCGAAAAGTCCTGCCAACTGCCAAGTATTACAGGCAAAAGAGACGCTCACTGACTCTAACAAAAATATTTTGTTTACACATTCAGGGACCTGTTTATGTAGAGCATTAACACATTTCCAACTATGTTTCGTAGCCTGTTTACACGACCACTTTGCTTATAGAGGTCACGATTGGAAGTAACGCTGTATTTTACTTCCCTGTAATTGACCTTCATTAGTGAATGTAATTAATATATTAGGCCTGTGTCCGTGTTTACGTTAGTGTCTATAAATGTCAGTGTTGTTGGAGTTTTCTTTATAGAGTTCGTTGTTCAAGTCCTTGTATGACTATGTTTATATACGCGTGTATGTCTGATTAGGCATGTGTGTATATACGAATGTATTTTAGTGTGTGCGCGTATGTAAGAGTGTACAGATACAACAATTTGCTCATATCTATTGCTGGCTTTTTCGCTACAATACAAAAACTATGCAATTAGGCTGACACATAGTTCACGATTGTTCTTTTAATTTCAAGAAGATACACAGTAGCAAGTAAATCAAATATTTACTCCACGTAGTAAAAAGATAAAATGAGTGTTAAGAGTATCAAGATTGATCATGCATAATAAGACAAATATTGACAAGCACATATTCAATTACAACTATACATTTATTGCTTACTTAAAAAAATGAAATAATATGATTAAAAATGATCTGAATATAATTAATATTACAATTTTTATGAATTTTTATCAGATCCATTTAGCAGCTGAACTTTGTTTAGATACATTGCCAACTTTGTTTAGAGTTCATATATTTTAACGAGGTCGGCATACAAGGTGATAATGTGTTTAGAATTTTGACCGTGGTTTCCCAAATTGAGTGAAGAACCCATTAGAGCTGGATTGACTCACGGACACCCAACAGACACAAACCCGGGATCTGAACTTGAGAGTTTCGGGCCAACAGTCTAGGGTCTCTACAATTCGACATCGCCATTCCTTGCTATTTAATATGGCTGTAGTAAAAGAGTTCTAAGTTTTTGTCTAATGACGTAATCCAACTCCCACGTGGAGACCATGATGACGTTCTCGTCCAACACAGCACTGAGCAGCTCGTCAGGTAAATGATGCAGGTGTTGTTTGTGGACCATGACGACGATTCTAGACGGGTTGGCAGGTGTCTGGGAGTAGATGGCGCACCTGATGGTAAACCACATCCAGTCGTCTGCTCTGAGGTAGTTTTCGTTGAATACCAAGATAATTCTCCAGCTGGAGTTGACGGCCTCTACAAGTCCCCGCGCCACGTCACTCGAAGGTAAAAGGTCACGGTCACGTACAAAAGCCTTCAGGCCGAGAGTTGTTTCAACATAAGGCAATAGCAAGTCACAGGTGAACTTGTAATCTTGGTCAGCGTAGCCGATAAAAACACCGTTTGTGTAGTCAGTTGGCTTCTGGTACTTAAAATTGCCAAATATTTTAATAACGTATGCCTTTATGTAATTTAAATTTTTATTTAATATAAAAACAATTAAAAATCCTATTCCTGTGATACAATAAATGATAATACTCAACTAGAAGAGAAACTCTCCGCTACAGTTTCGCCAAAACGTTCTAAGATCTTGATAGAGCAACGTGTGAGTCAACACCCCGTCTTTGTCCATGCACGTGTAGTTCCTGTTGTTGTCTAAAGTCACGAGTGTGTTCTGTAGCCAGGTCAGGAACTGGATGTTCTCACAATGGCAGGAGAAGATGTTGCCATCCAGATTAAGTTTAAAGTATCCGTTTCTGTAGACCAAATCATCTAGTTTATCACGAGTAGGTTTATGGATTGTTGTCAGTGAATTGTAGCTCATGTCAAGTATCACGAGCTGGGGCGTGTAAGACAAATCAACTGGGATGTTTTGAAATCTGTTATTCGCAAAACTCACTGCTGTTAAATACGGGTTATACATAAAAGTGTTTGGTGCTATAAAATATAATGCATTAGATGAGAGGTCAATCCAACGCAAATGGTTTAAAGCGCTAAAATATCTGTTTCCTTTGTTGATTATCATTGAGTTTTGTAGCTTACATGTCGACGTGGCAAGTCTTTCTAACAACGGAGTAGCGTCGAAGATAGTCTCTGGAAGTTGGCTTAAATCATTGGCTGACAAGATAACAGTTCGAAGATTTTCTAGCCCCAAAATAGGACAGTTAAATTTTGATAGTCCGCACTCTGATATATCTAAATAGGTTATGTTATAACCGTCTATAAAATCTATTTTGATATTGAGGCTGTTTTTGTCAAACATTCTTCGAACATGAACATATTTAAGCGATGCAGACAACTTGCCTGAAATAGTAGCACACTCCTCATTTAAAGTATTGCTCAGACCATGATTTGGCATTGTACGATACTGAGGCGTATATCTGTCTGATTTAAAATCAATCTTTTCTACAGCTAATTGCCGCAGTGTAATTGGCACAGTTGCATAATCCGGATGTTCCCAAAACGGTTGCAAGTTAAAACAAGACCGAAACGTGTCCGACATAAACACACGTTCTAAATGTTTGAGCCTTAGAATCTGTAACATCGCAAACATCTGGCCACTTAACGGATTGTCTGACAAATCAATGTTTTTGATACATCGATTCCAAGCACTGCTGTACAGGGCGTTCATGTAAATTAGCAGCAAGTAGCTTGATTTGAGCGTGAATTCCTGAACACATATTTGTGTTAGTGAGGATGTAATGTTATCTCTGAGATAACTATCTTGGTTTATAATTGCTATATCTAGTCTGTGAATGTCGATGGCAATGCCATCTAATGTAATTTCCGTCATATTTCGACCTTTCATGCAATGAAATAATTTAAGAGACTGTTGTATGCCAACCGGCGTGTTTATAATTCGTAATACGTCAAGTTTTGTTAATTTACATAAGCTGCCATGACTTATTTTTGTCATATCTGTAAAGTCTTTTAAAACTAGCTCTTTTATTTGAGATACGGCATCGAAGCTTTCGTTGTCTATATACTTAGAATTTCCAGACAATACAAGAGTTGAAAAGTTCTAAAGTTGAAGAAATTCGTCTCCAAATGTCAAGTAATCGCTGTTCATATCAATTGTTAGTGCGACAAGCGAGTTTGGATATAGTGTTGGGAGATTTATTGTATTTTCTGTTCTTTGGTTTCTGATGAAGAGATATTTCAAACGCCTTAATTTTGTGAACGTGTTGGCTTTATTAATCACCAACTTATTGTATTCCATGTTCAAAACTTCCAAATTTTCAAGTCCATCAAACGTTTTCATGTGAATTCGAGTAATGTCATTGTACGACACAATTAAAGTATGAAGCGAATTTAACAAAGAAAAAATCCGATCCGGTAAGGTTTGAATATTGTTATTATTTAACCATAGGATTGTTGTGTTTACAGGAAACCAGCTTTGATTTAATTCATTCAAACTTCTAAAGCTGCAGTTAAGAAATGTTTCTGTCGTATTGACAGTTATTTCACACGGTGATGCACTGGAGTATACTTGGTTGTTTTCAGTCCCGTTATACATCTTTCTTCCAAGTGGTGTTGGTAGAGTCCTCATATTTAAACAAGTAAAACACAAGTAAAAATATTTTACCTTACTTTCGAACATCTTATCTTCTTTGAAAAAAATATGTATAGATTTTAAAATTATCTCATCATGTGTTTAGCACTGATAACTTTCCAGTTCGAATGTGTTGCAATATAGTATTCAATACAAGCATTTCTATCATCACATTATAAAACGATTCCAAAAAGAAAAATACGTGCCAGTTTTTTCTTCTTACTCAGCAAGTTTATAGACATCAGTAATGAATATAAGTTTAAAATCACTAAACAAGAGAACGTTTTGTAGGGCTACAAAAAACTTGTTTATGACACTCCACAGAAGCGCTACCTTAAAATGTTAACAACGGTCTATCTATATTATTTTAACTCCAGGTAAGTAAATACGCTATGAGTGAAAGGTAAACTGTACTTTGGCCCACTTTACTTTTTATGTGCCTTTCACACATATAGGTCAGTTGTGACTATTTACTATGCTTTTTATTTGCGTCGGTGCCCGGGTAATCACAAGGGGGCCACGAATATTTTCAATTATCTGGTGTAAGCAGTAGGTTTATATGTCAGCTGTGTTGTTTAAATCAGGGTTATAGTATAACTACATCAATTCTATGCTGCAAAAAAAAACCGGGATGAATGAGCGATACTAATCTAACAGCAACGAACAGTGTCGTACATGATATTACCTACATTTGATGTAGACCTATACCTCACTCAAATGGGGGTCAAACAATTATGTATGGCTCACACAAGTTTGGGTCTAAGTATGATGTTTATCTCATTCTTTATAAGTCCAACTATGTTGCATACCTCACTCTATTGTGGCCAAACTGTGACGTATACCTCACTATGTAACTAACATTATGTTTACCTCACTCAATATCCGTCGAGCTATGATTTATACCTCTATATAGGGGCAAATCTAAAAATCTAAAATGTATCTCACTCTATATGGGTCATACTATGATGTATATCTCACCAGTGGCGTCGCGAGGCCGGTTATCACCTTGTAAGGCACCCGGTGCGGCACCATCATAGTGTCACCCCTCCCCCTTTTTTGTTTGTAAATTTTGCAGTTGGTGTAAACCCCCCCCCCCCCACCCACAAACACATACACACACGGTTAAATCTTTGAAGTGTCCACATTTAATACTAATGTTTATCTATAGTCGGTTGTTAATACAGCTACGTATTGCAATGTTTTTCCCTAAAGTTTGAATGTTTACGTCATGGTGTCACACCCACCTCTAGTCGGGATCGTCAATATGTACTTAAAATACTGTTTAACTCTGACTTACCATTCATTGAACTGCAAAATATAATTATTCTACATATCTTGCATTTTTTTGTCTTGGTGTCACCCCTTAAATGGTGTCTCCCGTTGTGTTCCGCGGAACTCGCCCCCGCCTCGCGACGCCTCTGTACCTCACTATATAAGGTAAAGCTATGGTGTATATCTCACTTTGTATATCTATGTTTGTAGATCAAACTAAGATGTATAACTTACACGAGGAGGCTCGAACTATGATGTGTAACTCACTCTATCTGGGTCTAACTATGATGTATTTAATGACAGTTTGCGGGTCTAATTTTGATGCTATGCGTTTGCATAAGCTTCCACGCTCTACCACCTGTGCTTCAGCTGATGTATTGTTGACCATGACACATTTAACACTCAATAGAATATGATTATATTCCAAACAAATATATACATTTATCTGAAACAATTAAATTTGATCTTACATATTACTGTTTTTTGTGGTTATACTTTTACTTTGTTTAACATGGCTTGTCACAAAGAAATCTCTACTGGTATGATGTTGCAGATATATCTACTAATGTATTGTATGCAGAGTTACTTTAATATTATGTCAAATACCCAACTCAAATACCTACGTTACAATTGTTTAATCTTTTAGTTTTTTTTCAAAATCAAGTTTCTTATACGAAATCTAAATGAAACGTTTCAACATCTGTGAACAAAAATTGTAAAAACACAGCGGTTTAACATTTTGAATTTCGTCAAAAAATTGTCAATGGGTTTCATTGCAAAAAAAGAAAAAAGAATATTAATTTATAATTTAAATGTCATCATCATGCAGAAAAGTACGTATTGAAATTGTAAAGGGTTTCACTATGAGTACTAAAAATAATTTTGCGGATGGTAATAATTATTCCACACAACCAGTATTGTGTTCAGTTGGAGTAGCTTGGCCATGAATTTCCAGGCACAGCTTTGGTACATCAAGTCCACTTGCTGTTTGATAATTGCTTGAAGGCTGGTCACTACATTCGGGAAATTTGGAATCACTTTTCTCATGGTGAAGATTTATTTCGTCGTTTATGTTGGTACTTTGGTAAACTTTTTCTTCATTCACGTCCTGGTGTTGCTCAGGAAAGATATCATACAAAGAGAGATACTGGTTTGGGTAGTCTGAATTGTAACTTGCAGCAACTGTAGTTAAAATGAACATTTAATATGTGAAAAATATTTTATTTTCCTTGTTATATATATATATATATATATATATATATATATATATATATATATATATATATATATATATAGGTTATATATATTTTACAAAAAAATTAAATTATATTAGAAAAAGTAATGCAACTTTCATCGTTTTAGTTTCTTTCATGTTATTATACATTTATAGAATGTGCACGGAATTCATAAAGGGCAATGTGGTAGGTAAACACATATATTGTAAATAGCTTCGTTTATTTTATAAACTAAACATGTTGTTTACTAAATATTTTGTCTATCACATTTTAAGTGAATTATGGAAGCCGTGACATTACTGAGGAGAAAATGTATTGAACTGGCTGAATTTTATGGATGATAACTAGAAGGGTGATGGTAACGGGACTCAGAAAGTGAAGCAACAGTGTTGCTTTTATGATTATTAATAGTTCAATTGTAATTTCAAGACAGCTTATTTATTTATTTTTGTAAATTATAAAAACACCGATTTATATTAATACTGTTGACACAGCATACTAAGTATTTTTTTTAAGAAAAATCACACTTTAAGATAACGCACCTTAAAGCAGCGCTAAAGACAGGCTTAGAGATCAAGGTGATACTTTTGCAACACACAGGAGCTACCAGATGAGAAACTAAGACTGACTATTTCGGAGGTGGGTCGCCTCATGCATCTAAAAATTGTGGTAAGGAATAGGTAGCAGGCGATGACATCACAAGCTTCATCAGCAAGACCAAGTAAGCATTTAAAATCCAACGCACAAATTGATCGTCAAGAGCATTTTTTACGCAATCTAAAATACGGGAGCCTAACAGCTACGTGCAATACGTTTTCGCCAACTGTTCTGAGAAATTGGGATGCCTGTAATGCAGATTGAGTTTCAGGTTTCGTAAAAAAAAGTACAATACAAAATTATGGAAAAATAAACTGTTCAAAATCATGTTTGCAGAGAAATACTAAAGTGAAAACGGGGATTGAATAGGTGAAAACCAACAAACACCATCACCAGAAAAGCAAAACATTATAATCATTTAGGGAAGACAAAAATAAGTGAAAAAAAAACGAACTTTAAAACAACCCTGCTTGGAAGAATCGCTAAAAAAAGAACAATTACGATGGGGAGGCTCGGTTGTTTCCCTATGCTCCACAGTCGGCTTCATTCGACCCTGTTCCTGCCTTAGTAATGACTTGTGAAAGGGTTCTTCGGTATTTGAACTGATACAGTGTTTTTTAATTGTAATAAAGACTGTACTGTTTGTATTATTTATCTATTTTATATTTAGCATGAACTTGTATTAAAGTAGAAGAGCTGGCCAATGGAAGCACTATGTGAGCGACTAATCATGTTTTTCGATGCTTTTTGTTATATCGCTCAATTACGTTAGAGGAGCGAACGAATGATTTACAAAGGGAGTGTAAGGTGGACACTGGGCGTGCCTGTATAGAAGAATGTAAGCCGTCACCGTGTCATTCTTTTCGTGGACTGTTCTTGGATTTTTATTATTATAATTCTACTATGGATCATTGTTGAATGCTTCGAATTCCAAAGATGTGTAAATTTATATGTATAATAAAGTTATACGTTCATCGAGAAGTGTACTGTTAAGTGAATATTATAAATCCACAATAACAATGCTATCAACCACATACGTATTGTTACTTGGGCGTCATAAGTGGTCGACGCATTGTTACACCTCATACAAGGTGAAACGCTCACACAGCCACAACACTTTAGTTATCTAACCTACCT